CTCTGAGAGAGAAATAATATAACTCTTTAATTTAAAGTTTGGCCAAGCTTTGTTGATAACAAATGTAGAAAAAGAGAAAATTGTGAAAAGAGAAAACTGTGTTTTAATCGAATCTGACGCTGTGTGGTGTGTCTGTGTTTGTTTGTGCAGAGTTGTTGCTGTTGTTGGCCTAAAATAAAGCCCCTTTAGCCCCGTCAGCCCTGCAGCAGCCATTAGTTTGAGGCATCTCTCCCTGCAGAGTGCTGACAATGATGACAGGCAGCAAAAATGCCAGCTGGGCCTGAGGGGCGGGACTCCGGGGGCATCGTATGCTCCAGGTCGGCCGGGGTCGACATATTTATCTGGGCTGTAATCTGAAGGAAAAGGGACAGAACGGCTGACCCCCAAAACCTTGGGGACATCATCAAAACAGCTCCTATTTCAGGTCGGCCATAACGTGCTGTGTCACTCTGTGGCTCTCAGACAACAGAGAAAGAAGGGGAGAGAGAGAGAGAAGGAGAAAATGAGTGTGGGAGAGGGAGAGCAAAGCAAGAGAGAGGGGAAGAGAAAAAGTGATGAATAACAGAGCAGTAATCAGCAGCGAGCGGAGCAGCGAGGGTGAAGCTTTAAGGAGAAGCAGGACTGATCTCTCATGGATCTGAAGCTGCATTATTGTCCCTTCACTCCTGACTCTGTGATTTACTGCAGCCTGTAGACACTTCTTCACTGCAATGCAAGCACATTTACAAAGCTTACAACATCCTGTACTTGTGTATAGCCTGGAGCAGAAGTGCATTTTTTAATAATGTGACTAAACTGTTTGGTATCTATGGAAGCCCTGAGCAGAGAAGCATCCATAAATTTTATGTTCTCCTCTTCTCCGTGATAATGAGTAACTTCCTGTTGTTTCTTCTGAGATCTGAGATTTTCCCAGAGATGCCACAGCACAAAACAAGCATAGGCTTCATTTACCTCATTAGTGTGGGTGATGGCAGCCTGGCTTGTCATGGGCTGGCCGATCACGGAGACCAGCGTATTGTTTTGATTTCTACATCACGAGAATATAATCCTCTTACACCAGAAAAAACAGCTTTGTTTACTCAAGATAACACGATAAATACGTCAAGATGTCGACTACAAAAACAGAAGTTACTCATTGTCATGGGTAAATGGAGTTAATAGGATGTATGGAAAAGAGCTTTTGGAGTTATCCAAAAATTGATTTACCATTTAATTTCAAGATTACAAATTATTGTAGACTGCTCTTTGACATGTTTAAATGTGAGAAAAACCACCTACACACAAAATCAGAAAATTGTGGCTCCAAACCTAAAAAAAGGATCCCAGCCCTCTAAAAGCTGCAGTGTGTCAAGAGGTTTTCTGTTTCTAATAAATTAAATTCCTATTTGTTTCACAATGAAAGACAAAGAAAAAGTCATTTTTTTGCCCAAGACCTTGGCTGCATGGAGCACTTTTATTACTTTTTCTCACAGGCTGTTTTAAGGGAATTTTTCATCAAATTTTCGGTGAACGTCGAACAAGTAACAATCCATCCATAATTTGAACCACTCATCCCATTTGGGGTCGCCCGGGTGAATATATTGGGCGAGAGGCCGTGTTACACGTGATAACACTGACAACATTGCCAGTCAATCAAAGAGCAGACACGGAGAGATCATGCAAACTCCACACAGAAAGAATCGTGTCTGACTGGGATTCAACCCAAGAACCTTCTTGCTATGCTAAACACTTCACCATCTTATAGCCCCAAATAATTATTAACGACAAATATGATAACTTGAAGCAATGAATCCAAAAGATTGTGCTTTACTGACGGACAAGCTGATCTTCCTACATGTGGAGCAATACTAGCAGTGCATACAAGGTACCATGGTTCTAAGATTCTACAATTAATTTAGCAGACGCTTTTATCCAGAGCGACGTACATCAGAGAGTAGGTACAACATGAGCAAGGATCTAGAAAAGAGGAAACAATGTCAGTAAGAGCAAACGATCAGCTATAAGTCCACACAGGTGCTGACAGGAAGTGCACAGAGGCCCAGCACAACATTGACGGCAGTTCTTGAGAGTTATATTCAGCATAGCCGTTATTAAACAAAACCATTGTCATCATCATCATAAAGGTCACAGGTATTCATGAAAGAGCTGGGTCTTTAGCTTTTTCTTAAAGGTGCAAGAAAAAACACGATCAGCATCTCAGCGGATTCACACTGCATTTGTTTTGCTCTTAACTCATTTACAGCAACTACAGGATATTTTTATGTCAAACAACTTACACACAAAAAACTGGCATAAAGGTTTAAAATCATGAAATTTTACTAATTAATTTAATTCTGTTGTTGGGTGAACCTGAGGAAGCTACAGGCGCAATGTGTTGTTCATACACAATAAAAGATGTAGTAAAGTTATTTTCAGTGTGCCACAGACTTTTGATTTAATTTTCATGGTTTGTTCCTGCCACCGTGCGTGAGAATGTGTTTAGGTTGTGCACGGGGCACCCTTTTGGCCATTTAGATAAAAATTCATTCTGTGTTTAGACAGACAGCATTTCCCTCGGAGCAGCTGACAACATGGAAAATTTAGAATAAAATGGAGCTTTTGTCAAATCTACATCAACTAGATCTGACTGCTAAAGTCTCATATCACATTTAGAAAAACTTTGGAGGACACATTAGCAGAGAAGGACCGTTGTTTGTGTCCTCTTTTTCACTTACAATAGAAGTAGAAATGTATCTGTGTGGTTAACAACAACAACAGGAGGAATATGTGGGCAGACACTGTTTTAAATTGTTTATTGTATAAAACAACTGTAAGCCGCCTGATGTGTATCCGCCATGACTTTCAGGGAGCGATTTCAATGGACAGTTTGACCTCATTACTGTCTTCAGGGCAGGTGGACCAGAATCCACAACCCACTCTTTACTTTTGCAAATCTCCAAGGATTACTTTAACCACTCTTTATTAATGACTTATCAGGGTTTTAAACACACACATTGCTTGAGGCCTGACTGTTAATAAATCGAAGGTCAGAGAGGTTTTCTTCACAACTAGTCAACTCTGAAGTTCTTTATAACAAAGAAGCATTCTGAGTTACACTTTATCATCACCATATCAATTTATAAATCCTTCATGAAGTGACTGATTTCTCCTCTTCCTGTTCCTCTAAGGTCTTGTCAAGTGTACGAGTGGATGTAAATTTTAAGAGGTTATAGCTTGAAATGTGTCTGAAATTTAGTGCAAGAATTTTACAATAAAGGAACTCAAAATATGGACATTCAAATGTAATAAAAGACAAAGTTGTAAATGTTTTGTGTGTGTGTGTCCAGATGTATGTGTATGTGTATGTGTATGTGTATGTGTGAGTGAGTGTGAGTGTGAGTGTGAGTGTGTGTGTGTGTGTGTGTGTGTGTGTGTATCAAGGTGTGCTGTGTTTGAACATCTGCCTCACTGTGATTTCATCTAAACTAACAAACTCCTTGTTCCCCTTTTTTTCCACATCTCAGTGCATTATATAATTCAGTATAATGTATATGATGCTACATAAAACACTTTGCTTTGTGTAGCAAATATACTGTACAAGAGTAAACATATATTTCATTTCATATCAACAGAAAATCGAACAATTCAACCTCAAAAAGCTCAAAAGCTGGAGATTCAAAACTGGGAGATTTGCAGTGAGAGGCTTCTCCATTTCCCTTTCTGTATTGCATTTCATTTAAATGGTCAAATAAAGCTCACAAACAACGCGGTGCAGTCAAATGTAGCAGTAGATTACACTTACCATCCCTGTAGGAAGCAGCTACAGACTCAACTCTTATTAAAAAGGTGTTTGTAGTTTGGTATTAAGACAAAACTCTTAGAAAAGCGAACAAACAGGATGAGGAGCAGTTGTGTTTAGGTGAAGAAAACTGCCTCATTGTTACAGAAAAAAACTACTTTTCACTAAAGCATCAAGTCAGACCCACTCATTCTTTTAAAATCTATCCTCAACTTTCAGTATTTGGTCAGAATAAAAGAAGCAGCTTTGATCCATCCATGCTGATGATAAATCTTCTGCGTTCCTTTTTGCACACAACAACACATCAGCGGCCAGACTCGACTGCACAAAAGCCAGTCAACACTTTGTGTGATGTGCTGGCATGGCAGGGTGATTATGCAAACACAAACACAGGCGTAAGCATCCATCACAACCTGAATTACACAAGAGTCAGCTCCACAAACATCACATTAACTGACGACCGAGCACCGCACCGTGCTCACATTGACAACTTGATTCCCGACCAATAGAATAGGGTGTGCTAATGTGTCTAATGTGCAAGAGACTGCACAGAGGGAGAGCGGATTTTAAAAATAAATCTCGGACTTTATTTGAAGTGCAACGAAGTAGAGAATATTAAATCCATCCAGGGAGACAACTCTCTGTAACATCACCCATGAAGCTGTCTCTGTTTAGTCAGGGGAGATGAATAATGCAGAAAGGATGCAAAAAAAAAGAAATACTATCAGCCATTCCACTATTGTGACAAGAGCAGCAGGAGATAGGCTGCATTCATTTCAGCCCTTCTGCTTTTGTATAAGGCTTGAAAAACACATTTGTATCAGCCTGTTTGCCTACATGAGTTTTTCTGCGTTTGCTACTTGAAAATTGAAAACTCCAGGCAAGGATATCACAACTAAAGAGTAATCATATCAGAAGTTTCACTGTGATTTCTATTGAATCATGTGTTTTGACTGGTGTGTGTTCGTTTTGCATGTATTGTCCTAGAAAGAACAAACCAGAGCACGCCTTGGGTGTTGATTACTTAAAAAAAAAAGGAGTGAATTTCAGAGATCTGTGTGAGCACATGGAGGGTCTGACAAAAGAAACCGACAGAAACGGGAAGCTTCCCGGGCGAGAAATCAGCCAAACAAAAAACATGTATTTAGGAGCAGCGAGGCTGGAGAGCTCCATCAAAGAACAGATTTTGAAACAGCAAGGAAATACTAGTGACATCTCGTACCTTTGGTGCTCATGTCCGTCCCCGCCGCCACCAGAACCAACAGCAGAGCAAAATAATCAGTGATCGCCTTCATCACGTTTCGTCCCTGCTTTGCGCTCCTCTCGAGCTCTTCGTAGTGAACGTCCTTGGGTTCAGCACTTTTCCACGGAAACCCCTGAACCCTCCTCGGTCACTTCAGCCCAGGTTCCTCTGTCTGATTCACTCCTCTGACAGAGACGAAAGGGCTTTAGTTTCCCGTCCACAGACCGCTGAGTGTACTGACTCCTCTCCCTGAAAGCTGGAGAGTGTGGAGATCTGCTGCACGCTCTCTCTGCTGTGCGCGCGGAGCTTCCTCTGCTCGCGTGCATCACTCAGCACCACGGACAGCTCCTAGCGTCCACCAAAGGAACTCACAGAGCCAATTAAGCTCAGAGTTTGGGACATAACCATTAAATACTGTGTAATTAGAGCAAAGGTTGCTGGGTTTTTTTTAACCTGTAGATGCTTAAGTGGGTCAAAAAATTACCTAGTCAGGTTGTTTTCTTGTAATATCTTTGAAATCATTAGGTGCAATAATTTCATATCATTATCATTTAAAGTGTTGACTTATATTTTATACATTTTTAAGAATTCTTGTTTTACTATTACTTCCCCAAGCTTCCACAAATGGGTAAAAAAAAGACACCTTCCCCTCAAAAATAATACTTAAAACTCTTTTAAAAATGTTTAACCCATCGTTGTAAAAATTGATACACAAAAGCAATGTAAAAGAGTTCAATTTAAACAGTAAGTGAGATGAAAAATAATTGATGTGTAAAAATACTTCACATGTAAGTTTGGACACGACAGCAACAATGTACTGTAGGTGTCTGCTGCTCTTTTCTTTTGTGTTGCCAGTGTTTGAATATGCCTATTAGTGCGTATAAAGTAACATCCTGTTAAACTAAGCGATACAAGAATAGCTTTGTCCCAGCAGCCGTCAGTGACATGAACAAGACATAACAATACAGCAGGCATTGCTGTAAGAGCAAATGTAGTACCATTTATTGATTAGTCATTGATCTCTGCACATTTCGTCTTCCTTTATCATGTTTTTAGTGATGGCTCATTTCTATCTTCTGTTTACTTACCATGTTTTACTGATTCATGGTATATTCTTATTTTTAGCCTCTTTTTATCGATGTTTTATATCTTTGTCATTCTCTTAGTATTGAACACTGTTATTTATTACTGAATTATGATCTTAATATGCTTACCTCCACCTTACAGTATAAGGGCCGTACTAAGCAAAGCATATCCAGGTCATAATTAATGTTCAACAACATCCCTACCTTTAATCTAATTTAATTAAAATCAATAAGCAGTAATTAGGAGGGTATGATCTATTAGCTATAGATTACGGTCATGTGGAATAAGGAACTAATAAGTACTGAATAATGACTAATTAGCAGCTAGTATGCTACTAATTAGCATGCTAAAAAGTAACTATATAATGGTGAATATTCTGACCTGCATTTAAAGTGTTACAAATAAGTGTTTTATTTTGTACACATCATTTTATCGACACATCTCGGTATCAACTATCCACTAAGTGTGTTATCATGATGTTTGTTAACATGTGCAAATCTGATTTTGACAACCTCAGAGCTGACAGAGCCTGAGAAACATCAGGTAGGCAGTGTCTGAACTGATGATCAGATAACTGCTGCTCTTAACTAATACCAGAAGGTCAAAAAGTGAATTGATTTTTTTAAGGCTGAGCTACAGGAAGCATCTAACATTGTCCAAGTATAATATATGTAACCAAGTTGTAAAGTGCTGGAAATCTTTGGGGTGTTGGTCAAACTGTCTGATCATCCTGTAGGATTCAGTCTGCTGAGCTCTTCTGCATGATATAGTGAAGTCTTTAATTGGCCTGACTTAGCCGGCACAAATTGATATAAATGAGCGGGGGAAAATAACAACTTTCAGTTAAATGCAAAACAGTTCGATGTACCAAAAACTCAAAGTCAGAAAATCTCGGCCTCTTCATCTTCAAGCAGCCACATAAATAACTCCCTAATCCCTAATAACCTCAACTCTTCTATTAGAGTTTTAAAAAAAAGCAATCAGTTTGCAGATTGAACCTTGAACTCCTTTTTTTCCAAAATTAATTTCCAACAGTTACCAAGTGCTTTATATCACATATTTGTTTGAAATACATACATATGATATAATATTCTGAGCTCTCTATTTGAGATATTTAAGGTAGACTCTGTAGACGCCTTAAACCTGATACAAGGATAGTTCTGTTGAAGTTTCATGAAGAGTCAGAAGCTCAGAATGACTTTTGTTATCCGCAGTCAGCCAATGATATCTCAGTTTACAGCATAAAAACAAAGTCCTGCTAGTGACTGTCATTAATGAAAACACAAATACAATGAGAATGTTGAAAAGCTCCTGTTTCTGCATGTTTCTCATCACTGGGATTTTAAATTAAACATTTACATTCTCTCTTTTGAGTGGAATGGGATTTGGATCAGGGATTTCTGAGTTTTTAATGCAAGACAAATTTATATGCAAACAAACAATAAAGTCTTATCTTAATACACACTAACATGACATTATGTTAAGGTTTTTGAAGAATCCCAGCTCTGTTTTTCACATGTTAACATCATATTCTGATTACAGAAACAAGCAGTGGGATCTGTCTCTGTTAGCTCGAGTGCTCATGATAGAAACCAGACAGTCACGTCAAGTCAACAAAACTCTTTATCCTGCAGACTCTCATCTTAGAAAAGTTAAATCCAGCAGATTTCATGCACCATCAAACCAAACCGTGTTCATTCTTAACCGCTCACAGAACTCAGTCTGCACAGAAAAGACACATATGATGGATTTTGGTCGAATCAAAGACTCACCTGCCAGAATGTAAAGCTATAATCTGGATCTGTCTGGGTCATGTGGAGAGGGATATGAATAATTGATTTTCTCAACGGTCTGCATGATTGTTATGTCTTGAATATGATTTAAAAAACGGATGCATATCACAGATAAAATAACGAAACTACAGACAAAAATAATCACACTTTTAGACAAATTAAATACGCTTTACTACAGGGAAAGGGAAGGGTTTAGAGCAAATAATAAAATGAATCTCAGTGCAAGCTTTGACAAATAAGATGTCATTATATAAATGCATTCACATGTGCATAAGTAGAACCACAAACATGCAATTATGAGTCTGCAGCTCACAATCAGGTGAGGTTCAAGTAAAAGTAAAAAGTGATCAATTGTAGAAATTGATTTTGTTCTTTTGTGTACTTTCTTAAAAAGGGCTAAATTATTCATATGAAATGTGTTTTTATTCCATAATTACTTGTTACCTTTGTATTTTAAGAAAGACTCTTTCACATTACACTTGTGTCAGTGAGCGTCTGATGTGTTAAAACCAACAAAGTAAGTCGATTTCTAAAGCTTTCTCTCATTAAGAGGTCATTTAACCATCATGCACACTTTGTGTTGTGTCTCTTACATTGCATATTCATTATGTGTTGACTTGTATACTAGTCAAAGGGAAAAATCAGAGTCAGCACAATGGAAATGAAGTGCTTAAATCAGTCTTTTATAGAGATTAGCCATACAATGACCTGCTCATCAACATGCTTGCTCCCATGGAAAAGCTCTAGTCTGCATAATGAAGCATGCATGAGAATAGACAGTAACCTTTTGGGGATTAATGCAGGACTGTTAAGTGCATTGCTGAGCTGTGTCTGGATGATAATGTGAACTCAGTGTCTCATCTTTGCAGCTTCCACTTGGAGATCTACACATCCTGTTTCTCCCTCAATGCCTTGACTTGGCTAACACGGGTTTAATGCGAGATGTTGCATCAGCAGCCCGCTATCTGCGCCGTCTTTTACATCTATTGGTTTTGAGTCATCCTGCTGCTGCACCTCTGGCTACTTAAATCCCCAAGAAGGCCTCTGGAGGCTGATCTCAGCTCTGCCTTCTGAAGCTTTAGCAGCCAAGGTGCTCAACATCCTCCGATGTGCGTCCAGCCTTCAGCCGCTTCTCGGCTCACAGAGAGCGAGAGAGATGACTCAGTACATCAATGCAGAAAATGTCTCCAACACAGAACCAGAGTGTTGAACCTCTTCGACTTATTTGCTGTGATTTACGCACCTTTGCCTCACGGCAGAGAAGCTATTCATAGATTCCACACTCAGTATGTAAAAGGCAAGTCATGCAGAGGCATTACTCATCTTATTAAAGGCCCAGTCTGCAGCCTATTAGACCACATTCAAAGAAGGTCTGTTCACAGAACTGAAGGGCCATAGTCTCTCATAGATGTGAATACATTTCACAGCCAACAGTAAATATTCAAACATTGCAACAGACCTTTAAAGCACTGTTCAAAAAAATTTTTTTCACACAGCACTTTGCATTGAATTAAGTCGACTGATTGCTAAAAGAACCATTCATGTTTTTCCTAACCCTGGACAGTAATGCAACATATTTCTTAGGGTTCATTAAAACGTTTTTGGAATTGCATATTGCTTCAGCCAGCAGCAGTGAAACAGGCTGTACTGGCTGCAATGTAATCCTTTGGGGCTAATCTACAGAGTGCACTCAAATGTGTTTATTTTAGTCACTGACAGGCTCTGATTGTTATTCTTAGGGTCTGAAAGCATCACAGGGAGGACTTTAAATAGAAAGACCTTATTTTAGAGAAGTAAGATCTTTTTTTTTGACAGAAACAATCGTCAATCTTCAGAGACAACATTTACAAAAAGAGGCATTTTAGCTCAGAAGTTTTGTGTCCACCTTTGCCTTGATCAGTTAGTTTTTTTGAGTAATTGTGTGACTATTCATTTTTACCTAAAGGAAGAGTCAATGGCTTTTTCTTAAAAGATTTAAATATAGACTTTTAGACTTTAATTTTTTTGTAATGCTACTCAATCATCACCTGTGGGCCTCCGTACATGTGTGGTGTCTGCAGAGATCCGGTCCTCTGACTGGATTTTACTGTTCTGGGTTGTTTTGGTTGACTTGGGATGTCTCTGGGCGAGAAGCTGCTGTGTGTTTCCTCCAGCCAATGACAGTGCATAGGTGAGTTTATGAGTGGATACAATTCATCGATTGGACGCAATTCAAACCGGCGAATGATGGAAGTGTACGTAGCTGCAAAGAAGGGGAAATCTTAACCATTGTGAGGCGAAAAATACCAAGCGGATAAAGCTTGTTCCAATGCAAGGATTAACCTTGTGTAAGCTTTCACCCACAGACGCAGAGTTGGTCTTCTTTCTGTTGGACAAGTAGGTGGTTAGCTTGTGCTAGCGTGCAGTACA